ACAGCCTGCGCTTACCTATGTGCTCCTGACCCACAAAGCACAAGAGGCCTTCATGTCTAGCTGGCCTGGCCATTAAGGCGGCTGAAGATCACAACAATGCTGATCTTTTCTATTTAAGCTAAATCAATGTGGACGAATCATTATTCAGCAGCTTTAATTCAATTAGTAAATTAAATACACTACTTTAGAGATCTTGTCAAGTACTTATGAAAAGAAAGATTCATTTAAGCAGGAGATCACCAATGAGCCCACCTAATTTAACTCATAGTCCTAACTGAATCTCATATCAAATATCCAGTAGGATCTATTCACTAGGGCCTAACAGTCTCCGCGTCATGGTGGTTAACTTATAACTCCAAAGAGTTTCTATCTTGCGTTCAGTGTTTTGAATTTTTTTAAATTTTTATTTATTTATTTATTTTATTAGAGAGAGAGAGAGAGAGAGAGAGAGAGAGAGAGAGAGAGAGAGATGTGTGTGTGGCCAGCTCAGCCCACCAGGGGGGCGGGGCTGGCTGGCATGTGGTGCTGGGGGATCGAACCACCGTCCCTGATGCTTTGCTAAGCTTGTTCTAAGTAGGTGCTTTAGACCACTGAGCCATCTCTCCAGCCCCGCGTCCAGTGTTTTGGACAAAAACAAAACAAAGCAAAGCAAAGCAAAGCAAAGCAAAGCAAAACAAAACAAAACAAAACAAAACAAAACAAATCCCCCAACATAACCAGCATCAACAGAATCAGATTTCCTTTAAATTATACTATTGCAAGAGAATGTAATCAGGTTACCTCTATTATATTGCTTCCTTAAGATTTTATATCATCTATACTTAATTGAGATACAGAGCTCTTTTGAGCTATAAAGACGACAGCTACTTTATTAAGGCTTAAATCTGATTTCTTAATGATAGCCTGCTTCCTTGAAAGACTCTGAACCTGCACAACCTTCTCCTGAGGAGACTGGACTTGCCTCTGGGGTCTGGTACTGACACAGACTGAGTCTCTGATGGGTGCAAGCTTCACAGAAAGGTCCCTGGTTTTTATTTCAGCCCTGGAATAGGAGGATGGACTGAAAAAGAGTATACAGATTCCAAGACGGGTCTACACCTGAGTAAGAACAAAAAATGCTTCTCCTAACACAATGTAGCCATGGCATAAATACTATACATGTTCTTAAATCAGTTAAAAGGAATGACAATAGATTCATATATATATATATTTTTTTTTTTGATTCATCTTTTAAGATGTTTGTTACATCCTTCAAAATATCAGAAGACACCCGAAGGAGTGGCAAACAGCCTGAGAAATTATGGATTTGAACAACATTGGCCATATACTTTTCTTTAAAGAAAGGCAGAAATTATTCTTAATTTCTTAGGTATTATAATACACAGATTTTCAGAGTTCTTCAAAGAGTTCATATTTATATATACAATTTTTTTAAAAGGCATTTATCTACTTAGTCATTAAGTTCCAGGTCCTTAAACACTCACAGGGACAGCAGAATAAATCTTTCCTCTGAGAACCGGTCTAAGAGGGACGAGCGGAGGGAAAGGAACAGGAGCCACAGAACTGGTATTTATGCAGTCTGGGCCTCCCTCACTCCGCGGTCTATGCAATTACCTGTCTCACTGCAGGCGCTGTTCTCCTCAGCCCTCTGCCAAGTCAGCTATTCACACTTTTGGGATCCGGCATCAATTAAACCTGAGTCGTGTTTCTTACGATGACCAAATTAATGGTTTGACAGCAGCTTTCTCAAAAAACACTGCAAACTGGCCATATTCAAAGGATTTAAAAACCATTTCTTTTCTGTTCAAAATTCTGACAAACACGTCTCAAGACTGGGGACAACTTCATTATCCTCCCAATACTTAATGCCTTTTTGTAGAGAAGGTTACTTAATAACACGGCTGGTCCGTTTTCACAACTAAATTATTCCAGTTGGTCACACATTCTAGTCTTCAGCAAGACACTTGTGTTATGAGAGATAAAAACATGAAAAAGGAAATATATTGCAGAAATCAAAAACCTTATCTACTTCTAGACTCTCTCTTTGCCATAATTCATTCAAGAAGGCCCCAAGAATAATTTTTGATGTAAACTCAGCTACAAACATACATCACTATGCTGATAAAAATCACAGGCTAAACTTATGAAATATAGTGACTTTCATTTCTTTAGTGCTTTTAAAATAACTTTTTTCTAAGGTCCAACAGACGCAAAAGATAAAAAGGGTTACCATTAATCCTTTAAAAAAAAGAAAGAAAAAGAAGCGGCCCCATAGATTAATGCTATGGTCTGATGATGCTCTGAGGATGAACTTTTTAGATTAAGTCACTGAATTAATTTGGTGAAGATACTGGAAATCATAAAAACACACAGCATCAATCTGCTTCATTTCATACATCTTTGTTTGAACACTTTACAACATAAATTATGTTGAATAACTTCTGGACTAAGTTCAGTTTCAAGGCACAGTCTAGGGATGAGGGACAGGGTGGGCAGGGCACTGGGTCAGTCAGTTCAGCAGGGAGATGGGGCAGGGAGAGGGCAGAGCAAGAGCAGGGACACAGTGTGTGCACAGACTCCGCAGAAACTCAGGCTGAAGTGACAAAGAGGGCTGGTCCTGGAGCAGGCTCCTGAGGCGCGGGTGGGCTGAGTGTAGCAATGTTCACGAGTGAGGGTGGGCGGAAGGTGTGTTTCAGGTGGTGGAACAGCAGAAGCACAGAGCACAGTGTGTGCAAGCCGTTCACAGTGACTGGCCCAAACTGGAGCCTGACTTGTATTCTAAAGCCTACAAATCTTTTTTTTTTTTTTTAAGAATGCGTTTAGTACAGGGTCTACAGGGTCTCACGATGTAGATTGGACTTGTACTGATCCTCCTGTTTTCAGCCTCCCAAGTGCTAGGATTACAGGTGCGTGCTACCACACCCAGTCTCAATCGCAGTCTCAGCGTGCCTCAGGGGCAGGGCTGGCAGGGCAGGCTGGGGATTAAACCCCTGTCCCCTGAGTTTGCCTAAGCAGGTGCTTTTATGCACTGAGCTACCTGGCCAGCCCTTGGACTTAAACACAGAATCCCCAAATAGAAGAATTCTTTTGGTTGAAGAGGTAGCCTTCTGTGCATGCATGCACCCCCCCACCAAGTTCCTCTAGCCTTTAGGCTTCAAGCATGTGGTTTGAAACGCACTGCTAGAAGAGACAGGGACTAAGGGCCTGGGAAGTGTTTATAGGATGGTGAGTCTTTTCATTTAGAAAAGTGTCACAATTTCTACACAGCTGGAGCCAGAGAGAGAGAAGAAAACCTCTGTAAGACCCATGTGCACAATTTTTAAACCAAACCATCCAGTACACCTGGAGGTAGGACAAAAGACTCTGAAGGGGTTGGGTTGTCAGTGCTGACAGGGCAGGGCCTGTGCTTGCTCTGAATCCTCACACTGCAAACATTGCCTCCCCCGCCCAACAGATGTGTAATAGTGACTTCTTGATCCCACGACGCGGCTGGTGGTGGATGGCTGGGTATGTTACACCCACATCATCCAGGGCTCGACTTGCAGCCTTCTGCAGCACAGTGGGTGCCTGGTGTGGATGTGGGGGAAGCTGAAACCTGCCTTCCCTATCCCCTCCACCAGCTCTCCTCTGCACCACATGTATACAACCACCTTACACTCCTCAGGGACAGTAAGAAGTTATGAAATGCTGCTGTCCCAAGCATCCTCAATTCTTGGAAAGATAGGAAAACAAAGCCATCTTAATGGCTGATGGGTGGGAGTGAGTGGGATTGGGAAAATGAACCGTCCACAGAGCTGGGGCCTCTCTGGGACGACAGGACACTATGTTCTCCCTTCTTAGAGCACTGGAGACTGAGGTGAAAGGAGAATATGGAACCCAGAATATGTTGACAAAGAAATTAAACACCCACCCACAAATGAGCCCTGTGGCCTGTGCCCAGCCTGAGAGCTTCTAGCTCCTAGGCCTCCCTTTAGTCAGTGTTACCTCAAAAACTTGAGCCACAATACAAACACCTGCTGGCACTTACACTTCTGGTTGTTCCTTCCGAGTATGTGATTCCTTCTAACACTTGCTCTCAAATTTTGTGCACACTGAAACATACAGGATTAACAAAAATTAGATGCTCAGTTCATACCCTAAGTTACCAGCTCAGCCCCTACTGTAGTAGGCTCTGGGTAACCAAATTTTGAATAGATTCCACAGGTAATGTTGACAAGTATCAGAGTTTGAGAACTGGTGCTTACATTCTCCTCTTTTGTAGTAACTCATAAATCTTTATATGGCTTTAAAATTTCCCCTTAAAGGATGAATTTCAGTGTGATCTACATGTCCTTTTTGTCCCTTGATATCTGTAGTCCTAAAAGTAATTAGCTGATTAATCTAGATACTATACACAATTAACTGTAAAAATATAATATGCCAAAATATACAATCAAACTATATCTACTTTGATAATTTAAGTGGAGGAATGCCAACTCAACAGCAGTCTCTTCATAGGACCAGGCAGGAGTTTAATTATAAGCTGGTAGGTCACACAGCTGTCAATAATCTGGGGGTGCTGACACTTCTAGTGTGACAGATGCCTAAAATCTAGTCCTCAGCTGCCACAAGAAATCCCCCAGCTCCCTTGATCTGATGTGGAAGGAGAGTAGATCCAGCTCTGACGGGTTAGGTCCCCCAGATAGGAAGGAGACGGCAGCACAAAGTGAAAGGAAGGCACTTTGGAGTGTAGCTTCCCAGCAGGAACCTGCCCCGTGTCCCAGCCCCCAGGGAAGGGCCCTGAGGCTGTGCTGCCACCAAGACAGAGCAGGATGGGGGCTCATGTCAGGCTCTGGGCACCATAATACAATCCCGTTTGATTAAAAGAAATTTCTGGTAATGAATTAAACAGACCCAAGGAAAAAAGGACACGGTGGTAATATATTCTCCTGGCACCCAGCACGCAGAGGGGAAGAGAGAGGAAAGAGAGAAAGGAGACATAAATAAAAGGGACTACTCACTGGGGCTTTTTTCTTCAGCAAGGTCACAGGCACAGAGCAGGTCAGAATCGATTGAGATGGGTTTCTGCTTAATCCAAAACTTAGTGCTGGCTTTCTGATTCGTAACAGGGTCTATCTCGACTTTGTCTCCAGAGATACCTGTAAGGCCAAGGAGAGGACAAAGAAAGAAGCCACAAGAATTGAAAGCTGTAAGTGATTTCAATGTGCTCATCTGGCTTGCTTTATATGAACATGGCTGGTTCTGAGGCCTGAGGAATGCCAGGGACTTTGAGGACAGACAGAATACAAGGGGCACATGAAAGGTGCCGGGCTGGTTTTCTGAGTCGCTGAACTGTGAGGGGATGATAACCCAAAACTGAATGAAAAGATACTGAGAAACACAATTTCTTAAGAAATAACGTAGATGCAACAGAGAATTTACATATGGGTTGATAACTACGTGACTGTACATCGTAATGAAATAAACTATAATTAGTCATTTAAAACTGGTTTTGACCAATTTTTTTTTTTCTTAAGAAGATGTGGGATGGAAGATTAGCATTACTCAAGCCTAAATAGTGAAGCTACCAGAGAAGAGTTTCTGATCTGAATTGTATACACTAAAAATATGGGGGAAAGCTATCTCTTCCCTTCCACAATATTAAATAACTACTCAGCTATATTTAAGGAAAGGTAGACGAAGAGTAAAGGGTCTGTTAGACAAAACCTTTTAAGTTCAAGTCTTGGAGTCTGGCATTGGTCTGTGGAAGTCACTGCTCTTCTGCTGAGCGAGCCTAAGGCCTGGGAGTGAGCTTTATGTAACAAAGACCTCAGCGCAGGAAGCCAGAAAGTTAAATACTGGACTTGGGGTTTTATTTTCAGGGTCATGGCAGGCATGGAGGGACCCTGGGATGGGGGTGGACATGCACAGAACTGGCTTTCTGGGTATTGGGTATTTCAGAGAAGCACTCACTCAGCTGACATATTGTCTAGCCCAGATGTGCTATTTCTCTCTCCTGCTGAAAACTGAGTAATCTGTTCATGAAGTGAGACAAAAAACCTTTAATACCCCCCAGGGAGCACTCAGATGGTGACTGAGACTGGGCGTGGTGGCACATGCCTGTAATCCTAGCATTGGGGAGGCTGAAAACAGGAGGACCACTACAAGTCCCATCTGGGTGGTGAGAACCTGTAGACCCTGTACTAAATACATTTTTTAAAAAAAAGAATGAGAAGGGTTGTACTAATATTATTATTTAGACAAAATATCATGTCTGCATCTTGTCCTCTGGATAACTACTATGAAGACAACAATATGCAATGTATTAATTATTGTAACTGTCTTACTAACCTGTTCTGAAACTGTTTCATTGATCTTTTATCTTTTTCTCATTAAAGTGAATAAAAAAAAAACAAAAAAAAACCCTTTAATATGCCTTCTGGGTCGAGCTCCATATGGAACCTGAGATGTAATTAATTTTTAGGCCATAGTTTAAAGGTTAGGGTCAAAGTAAAAAAAAAAAAAAAAAAAGAAAAGAAAAGAAAAAGAAAATGGCAAAGTGCAGTTAAGATATAAGAAATGATTAAAATAATAAAATATACATACTGTAATAGAAAAGTTAATCGGGGTTAACATATTTCATCCTATGGCTCACACTTAGAAATTTCTGAACAACTGAAAAAATCTTAGTCAAAAGAAACAGATAAAAGAAACAGTTCATAATTAATGCCCCTCCTCAACAAATGCCATGGTCTTACAGCAAATTTAAATTAAAAAGTACAAACTCAAGTCTGGTGGTTCAGCCTGCTACACACCGCCCTCATTTCTGCTTTGTTTTATGGGTAGGTTAATTGCAAGCCCACAGCAGACAAAGGCAGGAAGAAGCCTGTGTGCAGACGGATGCGAGCAGAGACTGCAGGGCAGTCGACGCAGTGCTAGCCGCTGAGCCCTGGCACCACACACTCTCTGGGAAAGAAGAGCAATTAGGGGGTAGAAAATGAAAATATTTTTTGCCTTTTATTAGTTGTATGTTTTTAAATTAAATGCTAGGATTTGTCATCGGACGTATTTCAGTAATCTATTTCAATTAGGCATAGTGTCCTAAGTCTGACTGACTCTGGTCTAGATGATTTCTGGAGGGTGAGAACTGGGAGACCAATTTTATTACACCTCACTTAAAGTAGATTATGGCTACCCAGGTGCAGTTATGCCTCCAATTTGGCCATTAATTGCTGACGATCTGGACACTTCTACAGTTCTCTGAAAGAAGAAACGTATGTAAGCTGTGGCTGTTGGTAATGTGCGTGCATGCACTTCCCCCCTTTATGCTGCTTATTTTGACATTTATAAAAGCCAATATGAGCAGAACAAAATAAATGTTCCTATCTCTTATGTGGAAATAAACCCTGCCTCACATTCCTTTCTCAGAAAGAGAAAAAAATTATCACCAGAAAGAGAGGGCTTAAAATTTTGTTCTATGGCCCTGCAACTCCTGAAGCCGTAGTCAGTCAATATTGTTAATGTACCTTGTTAATTTGATAGGATTTGTCAGGTAACTCCACTGGAAAATTATATAAAACTGTTCCAGATGAAAAGATGATAGTGACATGAATTAAAGTGATAGAACAATAGTGGAATATAAACCAGAAATGACACCCAAAGTGGCTGTTGATTTATTGCCGTACTGAGTTTGGTTCTGGGCTCCCATGTATATTAGTGCTACAAATCTGGGTCCATTTAGCAGAGGGTTGCTCATACATACATCACCAGCTCCCGCGCCAAGCCAAGGTCACTCCCCATGGCATCAATCTTTTCAACAGAGCCCACTTCACAAAGCAGGACTTTTGTAACCATCTCAGATGTAACAGACTCTCATCCTCTTTCATCTTTCTTTTATCATGTAAAGTACACTTTAACTTCTATTATTTTTATCTGCAAATTGTTACTGTACAGTTCATCCATTACAGGCTATATCTTGGCATCAGCACGGCCGCAAGAATACTTTCCCAATGACGTCCTTTCCTGGGGTGACTGTGCAGCTGCTTTTCACAGAAGGGAACCCCAAGATTGGGACCTGGGGATGAGATTCTCGAGATGGGTGCAACAGGCTCAAGATGGGCAGGCAGGTGGAACACTGTCAAGCAATTGGTATGTTCCACAAAAGACGCATGTAAATCAGATTTTTTTTTTCCTGAATCAAATCATATTTTTCTCACTAATTTGTAGTTCCAATGACATTTTATCTTCATTTTGGATTGATCTGTAATTGGCATGGGATCCCAACACTTCAGTTTTAAGCTTCTCTGTCCTACAGGCTTTCAGTTAAGTAGTTAATGATCTATAAAACTCTTAACTGCCTTGAGGAGTCACTATTTAAAGGAACCTGTAAGGGAATCTTTCCTGATGGGAAGAATCTCTTTGTACATTAAATAATCTCATTTTCCTCTAGACTGAGTGTCAGCTTCTCAGAGCTGAACACTGGGCCCCATAGGACCCTACTTGGGCCTTCTGAACAAGCAGCACACACTTGGTTTCCACAAGCCCACCCCGCTGAGCTATAGAGAAAGCAAGTACTAAAATCCAGCCAGGAGGCAAAAGGAGAATTTTCTCATTCTGGCCTGAGAGTTCTGGTTTTCTTTTGGTTGGAAAAAAGGTTAGGAGGCTGGACTTCCAGGCCAGGGCCAGGGACGCTGGCCGTAGGGGGAGGAGGTCATGGAAGCCAGGCTGGTGGGATTCTAAGTGGGGAGATCAACCAATGTGAGTGTGACTCACCTGTTGCTGCTGCCTCTGGACTGCTAAGGGTGAGTCGGAAGGCTGGGGGTGAGTTAGGGGCCAGCAGCAGAACTGCTTCCTGTGACAGTGGAGCACTGAGAGAGGACTGCTGAAGACAAGTCCTCACAGCTCCTTTTCCTAAAGGCCAAGGCAAGGGCACAGAGCAAAGCTGCAACCCTGGCAGACTCCCTGATGGTGCTCCTTCAGCAGGATCTACATGTACACGCTCAGCAAGGCAGGTAGGTCCCTAGCTATAGCCACCATGCGTTAAGGGCCTGCAGCATGTTGATACAACCAATATTAACTGGCATCACCTATGTACCTGCATGGCTAAAGGCCACTGTGAGCCCTGATTCACATTTCTTATCCACCCTATAAAGCTGGTCATTGTGCTCATCCCTATTTTATACACAAGCAAACATAAATACAAGGGGTTAAGTAACTTGCCCAAGACCAACTTGCTTGTAAGTGGCAAAGCTGGACTCTGAACCCAGGAAGTCTGGTTCTAGAACCCGTCCCCTTAGCCCATTCCGTTCAGGAGGAATGGCGCTGCAGGTTGTGCATAACACAACATGTGAGAGGGGAGAGTATTTGTCTCAGGTCAGAGCTATGACGGGGAAACCATTTTTCAGATCCTGAACTGTTGGGGTCCTACATCCTAGTATCTACTTGAGCAAGGCAGGTCTAATAGGAGCCTCTACTCAAGGGGTCTTTACACTCCTCTTTCAACTTTCACCAAGGGATGAGTCAGTGTTCAAGTGTGCCCACAAAAGCACACACCTATTTCTGTTCATATGTAGGAAATAGGGTGAAATCCAGTAGTATTCTTTTGACCACTGTGCTAATGTTCCCATGTAAAGTTCCTCAGAGGAGGACAGAGGCACCCCTTAAAGTGTCATTTACATTTAATAGTTCATGTTATTTTAAGTGACTGAAATTATCAATGTATTACTTTTTTTTTTTTTTTATGTGTTTGGTACAGGGTCTCACTAGGCAGCTCTGGTTTGTAGTAACCCTCCTTCTTGTCTTGGTCCCCCCAACGCTATCAATGTATTTCTAAGTTAGTAACGGTAGCTGACTTGTTAGGTTTACATTTATCCACATTAAATGGCCAACAAGAGAGAAACAGTTGATCCACCTTTCATGGCATGAGACATAATGAGGGAAAAGTTGCTTACGGAAAGTCTGGGCATGGGCCACGTCCTAGCACTTGGGAGGATGAGGCAGGAGGACCGTGAGTTCAATGCTAGCCTGGACTACATAGTGAGACCCTATCTCAAAAAACCAGTCTTACTCGGAAAAAAAAAATCATAGAAAAGAGACCAAAAGGGTGTATTCCAAAATGTAATATAGCCATCTTGGTTAGTGGAATTAGATTCTTTCTTTA